GTTAGTATCTAAACATCATCACATTAAAAGACTTTCAACATTAATTTTCAAAATAGAATATAGTATTTATGACAATATTCGTCATGCTTTCATTTATTAAAACTGTTTCATGACCTCTTCCTCATCAATACTACTAAATATTTCTTTTTTTAATATAAGGCAGAAATCAAACATTCACACTCTTCTCTCGTTCGATTCCAATGGTCATTCTTAATAATTTTATTTATGTAAAATACTCTTTCAACACTGATTGGTGTAACGAGGAAGATCAGTGTGTTAAATTTTCTAACTTTTACACCACATGATAAAATTCATATATATATTTATCAATGTTTTAAAAAGTCTCCGTCTAGCCCGCCTAGACATAGGCGGTACCTAGGCAACCTAGCGCCTAGTGTTTAGGTGGTACCTAGTCTGCCCACTTAGTTTCAAAAGCGCCTCGGAGAGTGTGGATTGCTTATGTGGACTGCACCCTCTAATCGTGATTTCTTCTGTTGCAACCTCCACGTCCTTCGACCTTCTCCAAACTCCTCTAGGCTCCAACTATGAACATCGCTTCTACCTCCTCCGACCTTCAACCTCCACCACCACTTAAATGAAGAAAGAAATCCCTGTAGGCGTCATCTCGACATCTAAGCTTTCTATAACATTAGCATTTATTATCAATTATTGTAATTAAAAAAAAACCGCCTAGGCGCTAGGCGTCGGGTCAAACGCCTAGGCCGCCTAGAGCTTTCTATAACCTTGATATTTATTGTGTTTAAGAAAATTCTCCTCAGTTCCCACCTTCTTGTGGTAACATATATGTTTTATTTGTTATTGTTTAGGATTAGGAATTAGCAATTAAAAATTGGATGATTATATTTTCTGTGAGATGGACATTATACATTCATTTTTTACTTTATTCGGAACTGAGCGACTATGAGTTGAGTAGAAGAGACCATAAACAAGTCATTGAAATCAAACCCTATCCGCTAAACAAATTTTAAGGGAGAAAATTAGAAAACTAGACCAATCAAACGAGAGAAATTTTAGAATCCAAAATCGATAGGAAGGAAAAGTTAGAAAACTAACCGGGATTGACATGAAGAGAAAAAGCCGTTGCTCGAAGCCTTAGGAGGAGGGACGACCTCGATGACTCGATCTGCTTGAAAAAAAACAAGTTAGCTGTTTCTGTTTGCTCGTGAGAAAGAAACTCATAAAGTTTCTGTTTTAGTTGTAAGGGTTTACATTTTAGCCCACATCAATTTGAAACCCTTCCATTTTATTTTCATTTGCTAAGGTAGGGCTAATGTCCCCTTGGCCTCATGTGCGTCCGGTTCTAGATGTAGGTACAGATACGAGTATGGGACACGATAAATTTGTAAAGATAGGGTACAAGGACACTGCTATATAAATATTTATATAAACATATATTATATATTGGAATTAATAATTTATATGAGAACGAGGATGAGAAATAAAATTTCTATAACATTATGTTCTTTTATTGTGCGGATTAAAAACAAGATAATCACTAGTTTTTTGAACTAGGTATCCAAACAATCCATCACGATCATAATTCACAACCTGACCTATGTCCAGCGAGTTTCAAAATGTGGATGTGAAGTGTAGGGTATATGTACAAAAAATGTACGACAAGTGTTTTAACTTAAAACATGTATTGTATAATTGAGTACATGCCCAAATAAATGTATGCATATATGAAAGGAGTGCCGAAGGAGTTTGGGTATGGGTTCGGGTACATACGGTTTCAAACTAGAAGTACTCCGGTAACATAGGTTACATTGGATAGTTATGAGTAGAAGAGCTGCATATTGCAATTTTAACTTGGGTACAAGGCATCTATAACTACCGTCTTATTAGAATAGGAAGAGTTGGTGTATCTTTCCTTTTTTCAAACTTCGATAGTTGATATATAATGTGTAGCCCTCGAGGAGCGTCCAGTGGCTCACTAAGTTAGTCCTGATTGTCTTTCAACTGCTTATTACTATTTATGCAAGCTTCTTCATTTGCATGATCTTGTTCTCAGCCTAACTTTTGAGAATTTATTTTGTATTGACAATCATATCTTATGTCCCAGATAGCACACCTTCCAAAATTTAACTGTGATTCTTGTGTGGAATATGACGCGAGAGTCATATTGTCTGAGATTTAGAGGGTGTAAGTGGGTAAATGCTGAAAAAAAAAGTTTTAAGAGGTATAAGTGGCTTCACCATTGTAGTAACGTAGTGTATCTGCAATTAACCCTATTTTAGTGTGTGCGTGTGTGATACTTAATATTTAGTTTGAAATGTCTGTCACTGTTCAAATGTAACTCTGTTTTCACCCTTCAATGTGCAGCTCTTCGTCTATAGACACGAAGCAAGGCCACTATGCTTCTGCAATGGAGTTTCAACAACGAGTCATAACAGCATGGGAAAGCTGTGGTCCTAATGCTACTGATGAACTAAGAGAAGCTCATCGGCTTTTTGAGCAGCTAAAGAAAAAGGCGCTAGGATCGCCCTCTGCTGTATATCCTGCAAATGCTTTGCCATTATCGCAATGTAGGTGATGCATTTACTTGACACTTCTACAATGTCAAAGTCAAGGTAAGTTAATAAGACAATTCAATATCTTTCTTTCCTTGTATTCAATCATCTATAAAGGTGTTTGGCTTGTCTTAAAGTTCCTCCCACTGTATCAGAACCCTGATATTGTGGTGAAGATTGAGGATTATAATTCACTCTAACATGTCTCTGTATTTGAATTTTTTCTTTTATTGGAGAAAACCTGGGCCTATTTTAACTGCTTACATAATTCCCTTTGCAAGTGCATCTGATATAATTTGAATTTGGGTTACTTTGTCAAGTCCAGTCCACTGCGTCAAAATTTTGAAATTATTGTGAGGATTGAATAATATAATTTGTGTTTAAAGATCAATCTGGCCCCTGTACTGGGGCCTCATACTCAAATTATTCCCTCTCTTTTTCTCAATTTAGTCCTTGGTACACTACGTTAGATGAAAACTTAATCCTATTCTGACACCGTTAGATATTCCGTTAACTAAAAATTGAAAGGACTCTATTATCCTTAATTCAATTCATTTCCTCATTAAAAAAATGGTTACCTATCAATATCAATCATTTTCTATTAAAAACACTTATATCGACGAAATTACTTGATCAGAAACGCATTCTTGGCTATGAATAAATGGATAGAGGGGGAAAAAACAAAGCCCGTCTTGAAGTCTAGTAATGGTTTATTTTATATTTTATTTCATAGTTAGAGAAGGGAAGATGGAAAATAGAAGTTGAAAACTATCCAAGGCTGCTGGTCATATCATTCCTTCATATACTCCAATTCTTCTGATTTTTTCAAATCTTCCATAAAAATTATTCCAAACCACGCTCACCACGTGCAACCTCTTCAAAAAGAAAAACAAACCAAAAGAAAATTCTTTTTTTTCTCTTGAGGATACTGTATATTTGTGTTCTTCTTGGAGAGTTGATTTGTTGTTCTTCACTTTCCGATTTTTGTGCCTCCCTAAGAACCTGTAGAAGCCTTGAAGATTGTAGATTCAAATAATCGCTTAAGTCCTCTCAGGCTCCTAAAAGAAATTGCTTCATTCTTGTTTCCTACATAGCAAGAATGAGTTAGGATTGTATATTCAGTGAAAAAAGTATTTGGAGTTTCTAGCTCTTCTAATTTATGTTAGTATGCACGAGAATTTTATATTCAGAAATGAGCTGTTCTTTGATGATATAAATACAATAGCGTGCACCCCGTGCAAAGCACAACCTCCATTTTTTTTATTTCTGCTACAGTAATTCTATATTTAAATACAGTTTTTTGTAAGTGTTATAGTAACATTGTTAAATGCTGCAGTATTCCGTCTGAGCTACAATAATAATGCTAGAGTAATGTTTTTAGAAGTTATAGATCCCACTTGTGCTACAGTAATAATACTACAGTATTTTATTGTAGCATGACTAGCTACTCTTGGAACCTCCTGTCTGCGCTATAGTAACAGTGCTACAGTTTTACTATCGTGTTACTGTAGCATAAATAGTGAATCTTGGATCCCATTATTTTAGAGGAATAGATTCGGTGGATGCTTGTTTGCCTGCATGAGACGTTTGTGACGTGAGACTTACTTTGATTATGAAAATACAACATATCTCTACAAAAATGTTGTTTCTTTATTGATAAAAACACATGAAACAATTATATATATATATATATATATATAGAGAGATTAGAGAGAATTTAAAAGTTTTTAGCATGCTTTGATTGGTTTTAAATGAATTCAGAGGAAGAGTTCTAAAAATAAAGTACATGATGTCTATTGTCATATAATTGAGGGTAGTGTGGTCATAAACGAAAAATTAACACCCAGTTTCTAACAGATGTAAAAGGTTTTAGTTTGTAATAAAAATGTGGTACATGTTCTAAGTTGAGAAAAAAAAAACTGAGGCCTAATTTGAGTATATAGTCTTAATATAGGGACTAGATTGGCCTTTTAGCCTTTCCAAGGATAGGCTGAAGGAACCATTGTTTGGTTTGCTGTATTTGTGAATTCCCACAGACATGTAATTACAGTTCAAGGCTTCTTATTAAATTGGAATTTACTTGCTTAATGTATGAGTTTGAAGATTTTCTCAAAGCTAAGGCATATTGTCAAATGACTTAAAGATCATGAACTGAGATAGCAGACATATCCAACTTAACAGAAGCAATTGGGATTCAAATGGAATAAAGCATCTCTTCAAGTAGCCAAATAGCATCAATTCAATTTCATTGTTCTCAAATTCGTGAACTATAAAAATAACTTACTGTTAGAAGTACCATTTGGTCAAAATTTGCAGACAGTTAAATTGCAGACGGGATGATGATCATTTCACGAAGACAAAGAACAAATTACTTTTGGCATCAACGAGTGAAAAATCAGAAAGGTTACCCTAAGAACAGGGTTGATGTGTTGTTGAGCCTCTCAACCGTGTACGACAATGTCTTCAAATCAAGATTGAAGGTCGGATGTATGCAGCGTCAGCTTACAATCTAGCCAAGAGGCCCCCCCCCCCCCCCCCCCCCCCCCGAGGTATATACGGACCGTCGCCTTTCAAGTTATAATGTCTATACACTGAACTTGCCAAGAGATTTGAGTATTTTTTTTTTCTACTTCCAATGTCACTGATTTTGTATGGTTTTGTCGAAATTTGTCATTATTGTATCCACCTAGTAGCTGCTTGATGTGTTCACAAATGCTTGGGGGAATTAATGTAAAGGAGAGATTCAAGAATAAAACAGGCAACAAATCAAGGTAAGAAATATTAAATTTACTGTGAGCCATAGAAATCATAACTTTGAAATTTATATATCTGATTCAAAATACTATAACTGATCAATTGGAAAGTTCATCCTCCCATGATGTAACTGTATCCGTCAGTATTCTTCCACTAGCTTTTTCATGCTTTTTATACTGGATTCGATCTTTTCACACAGCTATCAAACTTGAACTTATTTCTGCCGCTCCAAAAGCGTTATTATCATAATAAAAGCTTATATAAGGAATGTTTTTTTTTCCTTTGACGTTCTAATCACTTAACTGATGAAATGCACGCGTGGGGGTGATATGCAGTATTTTGATATATGTGACATTGCCCACATGGTTATCGACTAATCATCCATTGTATGGAGTCGAAAAGCAAATGGACTTTAGTTCTATAATTCATTTAAAAATTCTCCAATGGCTAAAGAATAATCTTGTCCTTCAGAGTTTTTTTAATGATAATAGATTGGATTGAAAATGAGAAGCCAATGGATGCCGAAGAGACAAATCATTAAGAAGTAAATAAATATGATATGAAATCATGCAGAGAAAGTTATTCAAGGTGGGTTAGAAACAGCACGAGGGATAATCTACAATCACATAACTCCTACAAAAACTCAATGGTTCCCTTATCTATCAGACTGAGACCTCTATACATTGAACCCAACCCCTGAGGTAACTATCTGTCACGTGACAAGGAATCCCAGAGCACACATATAGACGTGTTACGTAACACATTTGCTCCAAACACAACACCACCAGTTTGAAATCTATGAATTCTTCTTTGGAGGCTAACTCTTCCAAAGCAAACGCCTGTGATGGTCGGGTCCGGTACCGGGGAGTCCGGTGCCGACCGTGGGGGAAGTATGCGGCCGAGATCCGCGATTCGAAATTCGAGCCGTGGTGGAGTTCGCGTCTGGCTCGGGACGTTCAACACGGCTGAGGAGGCGGCTAGGGCTTATGATCGGGCAGCCTACACGATGAGGGGCCCAGCTGCGATATTAAATTTTCCTGAGGAAGTAAATTCTGTCTACTCAAATTCTTCTTCTTCCTCCTCCTCGCCGAGGGAAAAGATGTCAGTAAGGAAGCAAGAAGAGAAAGAAGTTATAGAGATAGAATGCTTGGATGAGAGAGTGCTGGAAGAGCTACTTGAATATGGAGAGAAGGGAGGAACTTAAGGTTCATGCAATTGAGAGAGAGCTTGATCTACTGGGTTCTTGTTTTACATTCTTTTTAATTCAAGGCCTTTTTTTTTCTTTTTTGGATTTTGACGAAGGAATAATGCAACCTGTGACTACGATGCAAATGTGACTTCGAATTAAAAAAAAAGGATAATAATAGGAATGTGGTTATCATACTTTGTGCCATGGTTGGCTTCTCTCTAACAAAGAACAGAGGTTTTTGAAAAAGCAAAAAAAAAAAAAAAAGAAAAAAAAAGAAAAAGAAAAGGAACTAATGGATAAAAAATGCTGATGCTTTGAAAGTTACACTTACTTAGAAGGAGACTTATGTGGTCCAGGATATAGGAATTGACGATTTTTCGCGTCAGCGTTTCTTTTACCTAAACAATTGTGTGATGTCATTACGAGCTACAAGTGTAGTTACTAGGTTGACTCTGTGGTTTAAATATGTGCATTGAAAGTCCTGAAATTACTGACTAGTAATTTTGAATGACGCTAACAAATATTACGCCCATTATCTGCGGGGATGGGTCTGATATCTTTTACTTGCATATATGACTTTTTTTTCAAAAAAAAAAAAAAATATTTCACCTTTCTTATGAATATGACCACACAATTGGCTTATAACAACAGTCAATATTCATTGAGGGACTAAATGCACTTCGAGTAGAGTATGAAACCTTCATATTTTTTTACATATGGATATCAAATTTACCACAACACAGTTGAAGGGCTTAATTCACCTAAGAGCATCTCCAACAGCTTCCCCATTTCTCACTTTTGGAGAATTTAGTTAGGTTTTTGGCCCAACAGATTCCCCATCTCATTCCCCAAAATAGGGATGAAGGAGAAAAAAATGGGGAAGCTTCCCCAAATCTCATTCCCCAAAATAGGGATGAAGGAGAAAAAAATGGGGAAGCTTCCCCAAATCTGCAGCATTCTCCAGATTTTTGGAGGAAAAAATAGATTCTTCAAAATGGGGAAGCTGTTGGAGTTAGTGTAAAAATTAGTTGGAGAATATGACTTTTGCTTCTCCATTTTGGAGAAAATTTTGGAGAAACTGTTGGAGATGCTCTAAGGCCTATTTGTTTGCACGGAAATAACTGTGAAATAGCAGAAGTAGAGGAAGTAGAGGCTACTTCTGCTACTTCTAGGCAAAAATATATGTTTGTTTTTCTTGAAAATCTACTTCCACTACTTCCTTAAATGATGATGTGGCGCCTACATGGAATCTCCATTTCCTTGATATTTTTCCGTCTTCAAAAGCAGTGAAATACGACAGAAGTTAATATAGGGTGGGGTCCACCATGAAAAATGATTTTCAAATAGAGAAGTGAACAAAATTTAGTTAGTTCTAGTTTTTTTATAGAAATCATACGAATATTTTGTAGATATACAATCTTTCGTGCCTCAGCCTCCTCGATCCTAAACAAATGGCAACATAAAAACTGATTAATTAACCATTTTCTTTGATTTTAACGCAGCGACGACGTATGCCAGTGATTCAACACGCCGTAATATAAACTGCTTACCGGTTCGTCGCAAGTCGAGGCGAGTGTCAATTCCCTTCAAGACACTCTTGTTGCATGAATCCGTTAGATTGCAGATATTCGAGTTAGTTTCTTTGAATTGATTGAAGAGAAGAAGAAGAGGGTAGGGGGATTTGCATAATATCAGTTAATAATATTAGTTTTTGCATAAAACAAGTATATGATTTTTTGCATAATATCAGTTAATTACTTCCTAGTAATATTTTGAAATATTATCCAAACAAAAAAAGTAAATGAAGAGGAAGAAGTTCTACTTCCATTACTTCTAAAAATATATGAAACAAAAAAAAATTGCTATTTCCGCTACTTCCTATTTCATAGTTTTAAAATTACTTCTGTAATCTACTTCTTACTTTCAATACTTTCATTATCTAAACGGGTCCTAAAATGTGAAAATATATTATTAATCATTTGTAATTATGTAATTTACAAATATAAAAAATTATAGAAATTAAAATAATAAAATGATATAAAACAATTATAGATTTTATAGATACAAACAAAATTAAAAATATTGGAAGTATTGAAGTAGATTACAAAAGTAATTTCAAAACTATGAAATAGGAAGTAGCGGAAATAGCAATTTTTTGTTTGTTTCATATATTTTTAGAAGTAATGGAAGTAGAACTTCTTCCTCTTCATTTACTTTTTTTGTCTGGATAATATTTCAAAATATTACTAGGAAGTAATAAACTGACATTATGCAAAAAAATCGTATCCATTTGCATATACTTGTTTTATACAAAAACTAATATTATTAACTGATATTATGCAAATCCCCGACCCTCTTCTTCTTCTCTTCAATCAATTCAAAGAAACTAACTCGAATATCTGCAATCGAATGGATTCATGCAACATGAGTGTCTTGAAGGGAATTGCCACTCGCCTTGGCTTGCGACGAACCAGTAAGCAGTTTATATAACGGCGTGTTGAATCACTGGCATACGTCGCCGCTGCGTTAAAATCAAAGAAAATGCTTAATTAATCAGTTTTTATGTTGTCATTTGTTTAGGATCGAGGAGGCTGAGGCACGAAAGATTGTATATCTACAAAATATTCGTATGATTTCTATAAAAAACTAGAACTAACTAAATTTTGTTCACTTCTCTATTTGAAAATCATTTTTCATGGTGGACCCCACCCTATATTAACTTCCGCCGTATTTCAGTGCATTTGAAGACGAAAAAATATCAAGGAAATAGAGATGCGTAGGTGCCACATCATCATTTAAGGAAGTAGTGGAAGTAGATTTTTAATAAAAACAAACATACATTTTTGCCTAGAAGTAGCAGAAGTAGCCTCTACTTCCTCTACTTCTGCTATTTCACAGTTACTTTCGTGCAAACAAACATGCCCTAAAAAGAACTAAGCTCGCCTGAATGCTTAGTTTGCCAGCTCGCAAGTAAGCTAAGCTCGTCTGAATGCTTAGCTCGCCAATCTTTGCGTCGAAAATTGATTTATTTGTTGAACCCATTACAACGTTTATCGTTTACACAGATTCTAATGAGTTTTAGCATTTTTATAAGACTTCTCTTTTACAAATAAATTATCAAAACAATCTCCTAGAAACACACGCAGAGGCTTGCGTGTGATCTTTGCCATTATCGGGGGCGCGTTAGTCCATGGACTGCTTAAAATCAGATCCGAGTTGATCGGAACAAAGGCTCGCTATTCTTGTTTCACAAAGAAAACAAGAACAGAAGTAAATATCTCGACGACGTGAGATAAATACTCTTCTTAAGATCAAAACGAATTCTGATCTCAAGGGACGGTGGGAATGGGGATCATGTAAAACCCCATAAATTTGAATATTATATGGTAAATAATATTTAATATGTTATACTATGATAAATAGCATGTTAGACCCTAGAGGGGGGGGGGGGGGATTAGGGTCTTATGCTAATCTAATCCGATTATATGCCAATTAAAATTAATTAATGAGTTATCCTAGCAAGTATGAAATACAACAAGAATATAAGCTAGGATAAGCAACATGAATAATGAGATATATCCTAAATGATAGAAATATATGCAAGGATATATAAACAACACAAGGATAAACAATCTAAACTAGATAGTGGATCATATAAATAAAGAGCTAATGACAATGGCGACAAGAATTATAAACACAAGTATAAATAAACGCCAAAGCACACTCAAACACACGATATGATCACGGAGTTCGGACCTTCCGTCCTACGTCTCCGCTCCCCACTCCCGGGGAGAAATCCACTATCACGACCGGGTTTTCTACGCTCACCCGAATAACGTTTACAACCACACAGTGTCGGTTTTCAACGCTCACCGAACAACGTTCACTCCTCACACTCGGTTTCTAGTTCACCGAAAACTTCACAACACTCTACGGTTTCTAGATCCCCGAAAACCTAACAACACTCACAATGTAACAAATATAAATTTGTTCTCTACAATAGGTGAGAACTTAATTAAGCACAACTCAATGTTATAATCTCTCACAACCCTAATATACTATGTATGCAAATACAATAAGCTCAAGTGGGTGTGTGTAACAATGAGATAATATAATCAAATCTAAACTCAATATAAAAACTAGCTTTAAAGAATGATAATCAAAACAAATATGCAAATGTAAAGCTAGATATGAGTTTAGAAATTCTTCTCTGAAAAACAAGATGGAGAGGAGGATTGAAATGATAGACAAACACTATAAATGATCTTCTCCACTTGTAAAACAATCTTCAAACAATCTCAGCAAAAACCCCAAAACAGAAAGACCAAAATGCCCCAGAAAAGTCAGCTCAGAAATAGCCGTTAGAAGTCCAACTGTCACATTGTCGGTCGACCGAAAATCCCGTCGGTCGACCGATGAGAGCAAAAACACGAAGAAAACTTTCTGGACCATCGTCGGTCGACCGGTGCGGTCGACCGATGGAGCTTTCGGTCGACCGGACCGGTCGACCGACA